CTAAAATGAAGTTGAAGGTGACTGGTTTACGAAGAGACTACCCCTAAGTTAGCGCTAGAGTAGTGTTTTTAATTTTTAACTTTTCTTTTGAAACAGATAAAGGTCAGAATTCCTCACATTCCCTTGAAAAATAATATTCGACTTCAAAATGCAGAGAGACAATAACAAAAGCAAAAACGTTATTAATAAAATGAAAAAGTATTTTTGATCATTTAGAGCTTTTACATGGGTTTTCATTACGGCAGCCTTTTGAAAAAGAACCCTCAACAGGAACCCCTACAGAAAAGGGTTGACATTCCTTCAATTTTCAACCTACCAATATTGAAAAAAATGGTTTTCAAGTCCATTCTCCGGCATTTTATGTATTGTAATTATATTACTTGTCTAAAGCTTTTTGTTCGGTTCCAAAAGATTCAAACCTATTCAAGCTTAAGAATTAGATCCCTAAAAATCAAGGACCCTGTTGTTTACTCAAACTGAAGACCGTGAATTATGCGAAGTTCCAATCCTTTCGCAAACAGAAGAAATAACAAGAGTGCTTTCCAAGAAATCCGTTGCCTTGGAAAGTATATTCAAGTAAAATGGTTTCTAACATCCGAACATATGAAGGAATCTGAACATATTCAGGGCGACACCTGCTCCAAAAAATTTTCCAACCTGAATTTGGGACTTTGACTGCTGCAAAAGAACCCAGGAGATGAAGTGGAGCTTTTTCAGGTATCTCAAACTTTTTATGGTTCCCTCATAACATTTTCTCAGAAAAAGACAGCAATGAAAAAGTAAAAAAGTATTGAGAACTTTTGGTAAATTACACAATGTCAATGACTACTGACTATTAATATACTCAAAAAAAGCAGGAAGTTGAGACATCTGTCATGTAACAACCTTGAAGTCAAGTGTTTTTCTTTTTAGGTGACTATTTTTTGGTTGCAACAAAAAAGTGAATGAGGGACTCCATTCACCATTGTGCCCAAAAGGTGGGATATTTTCAGAAACTGTTGTGCCAATGAGCCCTGGATATTTAAAAATCCTACTTTTCTACTGAGGCCTAAGTTGCGAAAAAGTCCAATGTTTATTTTTATAATCCTACGCAAAATTTTTAATGAAAAATAAAAATAAAAATCCCTCACTGGATGACATTTTTTCCCTCAATACTGGCATAGGATTTTTCAGATTTTTCCTGACTTATGCCTTCTCAACCTGTGAGCATTTCAGTGACCTATAGGGTCAAACTGAAATGTGCCAATCCCAAAAAAGTCCTTACCCTGCCACTCAACGCAAAGGAACCCTCTACTGCTGCCCCAGGGTTAAATGAGATTATTATTTCCAAAACTAATTTTTGAGTCAAAAAAGAGCATCAGAACAATTCTGGTGAGTGTACACAAAATTAAAATAAAATCATGATGGTTTTGGACATTATTCTGAAGTTTGAATTACAGCAGAAATAGGTTACAATTTTTCATGTTCCCCTCAGTACTCACACAGCCATGAAGTGCTGCCTGGAGTTGAACTCCTGGCAAAGCAGGAAATGTATAATTGATCCAAAAATTGCAGGTTATTTCAGTTCATGAAAATCAAAAAGCAATTGGAAATCCCAAGAGATAAGAAATATAATAATCTGAACCCAGGATATAATTTGCAAGACGTATGGGAAACCCGAGGACCTGTGCAGTATAAGAATGGATTCTTGATGGTTCTCCCAGAGAGGGATGAGGAACCTGGCGACATCTACGTGACAGCGAACTAAGTCGCATGAGAGCGGACTCTGGCCATGAAAAACTGCTGATTCCTAAACGAATGATTCACTTTTAAGATGGTAAACGAAGTGTGTAAACCAATAACGTTTTTACAACGTTGTTCCAGAGTTTTTCAAAAGTCTTTGAAGATTATTTTTTAGGACTGGTAGTGTGACTACTTTATACTAGATATATACCACCATCCAGTCTGTGATACAGTTATTGGACCTTGATTATATTTAAATGTATCAATATACAATTTTGTTCATTATCTTCTGATTTCTGAAAGCCTCTGAAAATTATCTAGTACACAATATTTATTTCTGAATCTCTATATATATACTTTAATTCAAATTTCTAGAGGCTTTTGTGATACAGTATTCTTCTGAGGACCTGTGGAGGAGAGTAGGAATAAGAATTCAACTTGCTGCTTCTTGAAAAGAAATGAGTGACTAATTGGGAAAATGTTCCTTTGCCTTCAAGTTCAGCACCATAACAACTCATTTATCCAATAGTTTTAGGCCTGGAATATCACCAATATTATGATTCTGAATTTATTTTTTGCTTACAAGGAGAAATGCTTTGTTTCCCACCTGAAAAACTCTCTTGGTCAAATTTATGTGGGTCCTGTCACTTGAAGGGGGGTTGGCTCAACAAAGGAATTTTAGTCTCAGACAACAAACACAAATGTGTAAAATTTGTGATTAAAAAAACACAAGTTTATTAGTGACACCTACACACACCAGTCAGCAAAATTGTTGACTTAAATCAGGGTTTAAAATGACCTCTTGAAATTTTTTTTTCAAATTTGCCCATCATCCACAGGAAAGCAACAAAACTTTCAGCAGTCCGTTTGAAATTAACCAGCAGTTTTTGAAATATTCAAAAAATAATAATGATTAGAAAAATGAAATTTGGAAAGAGTAAATTGCAATTTTCTTTTTTTTCTCCTTCCTTTCAAAGCGAAGTGCCCTTGCGCCCACTTTATCCCATCAAAAAAACGTTGCGTCACCCAACTTCCTTTTCTCCCCCTATTTTTTTTTCTTCTTATTGCCTTTCCCAGTTTTGTGCCCCGCGGCATGGGCTCAGTATTGGGCCACATTACCTTCGTTTTTGTTTTCTCTTTTATCTCAACATCTCAATATCAGCTTGTCTTTCTGTGGTTTATTTCCTACTTACTATCATGTCTGGGTACTCCACGTGAAATTACAATAAAGCAGGTTAAAACTATACAAAATAAAATATCTTGAAATGTGACTTTTATGGTTGGCTTCCGTATGGGAGTTTTAAATAAGGTTCAAGCACTGCAATATATAAGAGCTGTTTTTTTGTGTGGCTGTTTGTTTGTATAATGTGTATTTTAATCGCCCGTCAGATGGAAAAACGGTAGTTATCAGAAGCAAACGGAAATGAAACGCTTTCATCAGTCCGGAAGCAGAATTTCAATTCATTTTCGTCGAAATGTCAACTGTCAGATTGTAGCTGTGCATTTAGACGCATTGTATGTAAACATGGAACATATATAGTTTCGTGACGATTCAACACATGCCGGAAATGTTTACTTTATTCCCACTAAATCCTTAGAAATTTGCAACTTATGGATTTCCGACAAATCTCGTAACTCACCAACAATCGTCACAGGATTAAGAATTGGAAATAGAGGAAAATTTTGGTCTGAGGAAAAGATTATCTGCCATAGATAGCACATCGAAATGCGAAATTGAGGAACAGGGAACAACAGAAAAGGGGAAATTTAAAATAGTCTGAAGACGATATTTATAAGTAATTAATTGAACCATGAAAATTGCAGGATTATTATGAAGAATCCAATAGCTATTCCTTTTAAACGCGGGATCTAAAACCGGGAACATATCTAAAACCGGGAACATATCTAAAACCGGGAACATATCTAAAACAGGGAAAATTTCAAAGTGGAAAAAATATCCTAACTTTTTACATTTCTAACAGGTTAAGAATAGCCAACGCAGAGACTGAATCAACAAAGAAGATATTTTGGAATGTGTTCTATAGAATTTAAGACCCCCTCAAAAATAATTGAAGAGGGCTAACATTTGTGAAAAATTTTGGTTCATTTTTATGAGACTTGAAAATTACAAAACCTTGATTTTATCAGCATATGTGTTGGGGACAGAAGTCAGCGCAACAAGGGTTTGCTGAAAAGACAAATTTTTAGAAATAGTTTGTAAAAGAAAACACAGAATCAGCCCGGGACTGGGGCCAGGAATTCACCTTGGAATCCCTAGTTTAAGTTTAAAATGTATTTCAAATGTCCTAAATAAACGTTTTAGAAAAATAGTCACACAAACACAAGTAGATTGACAAAATATTCGGACAACAGAAAAAACCTCTCAAAAAGCCTCTCAACGCACTGCTCTGGCAGCTAAAATCAGACTGTGTTGTTTTTAGATTAAACAGGGGTTTTTATTAATTCCTTCTCTGGTCCTTGATCAAGGGGGGTTGATCAAGGGCAGGAGAATCTTGGATGCCTGGGATTGGCCAATAAATTGGTAGTCAAAGACGTCTTGGCACCAAGACAGTTGCATTTTTTTGGGGGAGGGGAAAAGTTGTTGATGGATTTCATCTGTTTTTCACACGCGGGTGGTTTTCCACCCAATTAAATATTTATGATTGATTTTTAAGGGAGATGCGCTGCAAGTCCCCAACAATATGCGCATGAGACCCCCACATGCAGACAGCCCAACATGCAGACAATTTGACATAGGGACACTTATTCTCACATAAAAAAATTGATAAAAAGGCCCAATATGAGGACACTGACTCAATATAGGGACATTTTGTGATAAAATTTAAAATAAGTTGCAGGCCAAATTACAAGAAACGGATATTTCCAACCCTAAAATTGATGTAAGAAAAGTTCTTGAGCATTTCTCTCACCAATTTACCATCCATTCAGCTAATTAAAAAAAAATCATCTCCAACATAGAGAGACTTCCTTCTCTCTTTTTCACTTAAATAATATTTTTACAGATAATCCCAACATTTCTATGTAATGTACACAGTTATCAGTATTCAATTCCCCAAATGTCCATATTGTGTTGAAATACTGTACATTGATTGGAATCAGTTTAAATTGGGAGACAATTTTTATTCTCATGGAATTATGGTGAGTAATTTGTACATAGAACACCAATTAAAAATCATGGCCTCACTGTATAAATGTTGAATGCCAAGAATGCATGAAAACACTTATTCAGGGCTGCTTGAAAATTTGCATTCAATCACCTGATCCAACATCACTTCTAATGCAAAGGAATTCCAGGAACTCAAGCAATCCAATATTCTTCAATGAAAAACTGATGAAAGTTCACATCAATGTGTAGTTCTGAAAGTTGAGCATTCCTTTTCTGCAAAAATAAGTGGTTCTCAGCCATTTTTAAAAATGCGAGCCACTACAAGTCTCTAGATTTAAAAACAAAATAGAATGAAATTAAAAAAAAATTACTTTGGGAATGGGATTACAAAAAATAATTTTTAACATACATTTCTCCAAGGTCCATGCACAAAGCCGCAATGTAATTTGAGTCTTGCTCCGAAAAGTTTTCCATTTTAGAACAAATGGTTTTTACTGGGTCTGAATTGTTGCCAAATTATACTGTATAAAATGTCTTTCCTCAGAAAAGGGTGATATCCAGGTTTTTGTCAATATTTCTCACATCTGAAATTATTTCATGACTATTTCAGCGAAAGTTTATCCATGAATGCATTTGATTGCCTTGCTGGGATTTGAGATAGGTACTTCACTAAAATTCTGCAGAAAGCTTCACTAAAGCATCAACTTTTTTTATTTCTTTGAAAATGAAATATTAAATCATTGAAAAATCACGCCTGGGTGAGCTGAAAAACAATACACATGCATCCATTCAAAATATATTTAAATTGCAGGCTGAGGAACATTTCCTGACCTGGTCCTGTTTGGACACTGGCTTTGAAAAACCAAAGTTATTTTCAAAGATAAAATACCCCACAGCAGAATCACAGAATCATAATGCCCAGCATATACTGTATACAAACACCTCAGCTCTTCAAACACCACATTTTTCAACTTCATCCATCACAGTAAATTTTCTCAACAAGATTTTTCAAACACTGCCTCCTGCTGATGCAAATTTTCACCTGCACACTATCAGCACCAGAATACAAGTCCATTTGATTATAGCACATGACACACAAACCAGAAAGGGAAAAATAACGTTTCCGCGTTTTCTTTTTCGCAGAGTAAATAATTTATTACATCAGTCGTTTTTTACTCTTCCTAATTTTTTTTTTCTCAGACCACCAATCCAGATACACAGAGCAGGAAAACTGGAGCAAGGCTGATAATGCGACGCAAGCTTTATAGCAAGGCGGGGACTGACTCACTGGGACCAAGGGGGCACTTTTTTCTCCCCCCTCTCTTGTATTTTTGCTGTGGCGCCAGAAGCATGCTATGGGCAAGCAATTTTTGGGAGGGGCTGGATTTGCCCTCGGGGCGAATGCCTTTTTTTTTTTATTACATTCCCCTCCTTGCTTCCCCCAGCAAAAAGCTACAACTTGCTTTGGGGCAAAACAAATATACACAGCTGCTGAGCTTTGGACTTCATGTTGATGTGAGAAGGAAATTTGTGGGGCTTTGTGCGTTTGCAGAAAATGTTGGGCTTTGAAATACAGGTGGACTCTCTCTCTCTCTTGCTCTACAACAATCTTGAATAAAACAAATTAATCTACAAAACCAATTTCTTTTGTCCCAAAGGGGTTTTCTCCCCATTTTGAAAGTGTTCTCTGCACAAAATTGTCTGTACAGCAAACTTTTTTCTGGTCCCTTGAATTTCTTTGAAGAGATAGTTCATCTGTAGGACTGTCATATAATGGAGAGGCTAAATCAGGAATTTGACTGCTAGGAATTGAGAGCATCATATATGGTAGAGAAGCTTTTTTTTTTTTTGCATCCAGAGAATGTCTAACCATGTCCTTAATAGAGGATCAGGAAAACATGATCATATGATTTATATCAATGTTCTTCACCCATTTGGTGTCCATTGTGTACACATTTTATCCCAGTTTTATGGAGGATAATTTTATCACCCATAAAATAGGAGGGGGGGGGGGGGATTACCTTACTTATTTTCATAGCAAGCATATTTTGATGGCTTTATTGGTGCAAGATGGCTTAGCCCTTTGTCTTTTGGCATACCAATTTGTATTGGCACACATGCCTGAAATACAATCTGAAATAAAAGTCCATGAAAACGTGTTAAAAACAAGACACTAAAGTTGGTGCAGAAAAAATACTTTACACATGGACCAGGAAATTTCCATCAAATTTTTGCAGACTGGCAAATTTTCATAAAAGCTCCTTCAGACTGGAAAAGTTCCAGCAAGGTAATTTTTCAGACCAGCAGAGATTTTTAAAACACCTGCCATGAAGTACTGAAAAAGTAAACATTGAAAAATTCAATTCAAGAACTGAAGCAGATAAAGTGGAATGTCTTCAAAATATTAGAATGCTGAGCTTGAAGAAAGGTTTCAGAATGTATACTTGAAATTATTCATTGCAGCCGGGGGATATTTATCTGAACTGCTATTAGGAGGAAAGCCAATTTTTATTCCTAATCAGATAGCTTCAACTGCCATTGTCTTTCCAAAATTTGAAATAAAACTAACAGACTTCATCATTGCTTTCATAGTTTCATTAAATTTACTAAGTGCTGGGAGAAAATTGCTTGCAGGCTGGCACAAAACTTTTGCTGACTGATTCTCTCTAAAATTTTCAAATTGATTACAAATTTTCTGGGAACAGGCTGAACAGTTTGTGCTTTAATTCATGATCAGTAATTGCCTTGCGCTGTAAATTTTCATTGGAAAATATGTAAACTTGGGGATTTGTATTATTCATGCAGTTTTATACAGTGAATCATTTTTCCCTTTGAAAATGCCAGAATGTGTTTGAAAAGATGTCCTGGAGGGTGAAGGAAACACGTTTTCCAACCTTGTGAATCCTGACAAGTGGCAAATAAAGCTTACATAACAACCCATCAATAGACAACGTATTGCCACAGAAAGCACATATAAAATCGTTGGTGAGAGTCTATCAATTTTATTTGTTCTCAATATAGGCAGCAATGCCATAAAAATTGCTCTTGTTTTTCTTGGACTTGTGTAGTACTGCATACAGTAAATAACAGAGATAGCTGAATCAAAGAGCTTGTGCTTTGATGGGTACTGTTGCAAAGAGTTTTTTTTTTCTTGATGATGATGATGAGAATCCTTCCGAGTATAGATGAAAAAAAGATAGTTTTTTCATGGCAATTAACCTTTTATGGTGTTGCATGACGAGCTGCACGAACCAGTCATTAGAAGCCATTTAGTGATTTTTTTTCCGAGACTTGTTGAATTCCCTTTTCCTTTCACTTTTTTGCACTGGCAGAAGAAAATTTCTGCTCGCTCACGGAATTTTGATAACATTCGCCGTTACCCAGAAGTAGTTCTTGATTTTCAAGGAGAAAATTCACTTATACTCGAAGTTTCATTCCATGTTTATGAAAGAAGATTTTGATTCAATCTTCCCTCCTGTACAATATTAACAAAAATATTTTCGAGTGCGTTATTACACTAAGGTACTCAAGAAAGTCACGTTGAACTGCTTTCGTAATACTTTGCTATATTTTAATTGAGTTTATGGTCCATTTCATAACCATGATAGTAAAATATAAAATTTGACGATGTACTGAACATTTAGTGTGCTGTCAATACAATAAATTGCTCTATTGCGTGATTGGTGATACATTTTTCTTCACGCTTACCGTTTTGGTCGATTTTGAAATGCATTCATGATATTTTGACACTCCAGTTCCCTCTTGTGCTGCTCATTGATCTAGTGAAATTTAAAATTTAAAATACAAATTGCTTCCCAACTCTTCTTTGTTCCTCTCATCTTTTTTGTTTGTGTAAACATTTTAGAACAAATGTTCAAATCATACTCATGTAATGTGAAACCTTAGGGATTGCGGCCTGAATGGAAAACAAGAAGAAAGCCCTAAAATTTTCAGAAAGACAGTAAATTGTTTTGGGTATACCTACAGGGAAGCCTAACAAATTTAGATAAACTTGAAGCTGCATTGAATGTTAATTTTGAAAATATGCTTGAAGAAAATATGAAATTATTACTTATATTATACAGTGGCCCCTGCCTAACAGACCTCCGGTGTAAGGGATTTTTGCCAAACAGACCAGCTCTGCAAGCAGTTTTTCCTCCCACCCAACAGACAAAATCCACCCAACAGACTTCTTTTGGTTTAAAATTAGTGTTGAAAATTGAAATTTTTAATTTTTTATGTAATTGAATTCGTGTAAAGGACTTTTTGTCTAACAGACTTGTCCCTTGCACAAATCAAGTCCATTAGATGGGGGTTGACTGTATATACCGCAAAAATCCTCATGAATTCATTTCAAAAGTTTCCTCATAGAATATGCGCATCTGAAAAATTTATATGACTGACAAATTTTTCCAGAACTGAAACACCTCATAATCTGAAAATATGTCAATGAGAATAATCTGAAAAACTTCAAGTTGTAAAAACCAGTGCTGAATTAATTATACTCAATCCAAATATAGGAATAACTTTAAAAGTGCCAACACATTTTGGCATTTCCATGTTCCACCCTTGAAAAATTAAAATTCAGCTAAAAAAAATGAATAAATAATTATCATTACCACACCGTACTTCCAAAGTAAAAACTCCACTAAAAAAAAATCCAAGAAATGTGTAAATTGAGAGAGGAAAAAAAAAGGCAAAAAGCTTGTTCCCAACAGTTGCAGGCAATGGCATTTCCGCAGCCAAGCAGTCTGGCAAGAAAACGGATCATGCGATTTAAAAGCTAATCATGTTTGTCAGGTACACAACAAGCCATAGAATTATTTTAAAAAAAGAAAGAAAAAAAGTGAGAGAGAACCAGTAAGGGAAACCTGGCTGTGAAACCCGAACCCCGAGGGGCCCACAAGACAAAAGCTGTTTCTCTTCCCTCAAACACGCATTGAACCAAAATGCCATAGCCCCGGGGCAGGATTGCGAGTTCATTACCGCAGGCGGCGAAATGTCTGAACTGGTTTTTTCATTTTCTTTCTCTCACTGCTCCTTTACTTTAGATGATGCTAATATGGCTATTTTAATTATGACTGAATGAAAGAATCCTTCAGCTTTCCTGCTGTGTACATTATCATCAAAAGAGCTAGTTTACAAAGAACGTCACTGCACAAAAACTGCAGGTGCAAAAACTAGAAAATAATGAAAAATGGCCAACAGAAGCATATTGGGCATATCAGCCAAAGAGCATCAGGTGGCTGAAGATAAAATTGTGAAAGAGCAGGTGTGCATATTGGAGCAAATGAGCAAAATGAGATCAAATATACAGGATACCAATGGAATAAAAGACCAGGGCATACAAACAAAGGCATGCAAGAAGAATCATAAGATCACATAAACAATCAGAAGAGCAGGTTTCAAAAACTTTACACAGCAAGTTTGCAAAAACAGCGAGAAAAATGTCACCAAGGATTCATCACATAAATGGGAGGAATCAGAAAAAGAGCAATCCAATGTAGAAATTGTCAGAGGAGCCAGTGCAAAAACTGTCAAATTTTAAAAATATTATAGGGCAACAAAATAGCAAGCTCACAGCAGAAAAAGAGCAAATCAACACAAGATGAGAGAGCATTAAATGAACAAGTGAACACTAGAATCAGTCTAATGAGCTAAAGAGCACAAAAGGACAAATACAAAAATAATAGTGCATCAAATGTGCTAGTGTGCGCAAAAATAAATCTGATTAGATGACATAGGATTGTCCAACTTCACTAGCAAGGATTTCACCCTATGTATATAGTAATTTAGACTTTTGAGATGCTGTTTAATACTTGCTGTTTTCCAATTCCCCTTTTGAATCTTGCTCTTATAGACTTATGCTTGCTATAAAGGGATAGCATTTATTTTAAGAAACCTGAAGCATATTCTATTTGTATCGGTTCAGAAAGCATCTGACTTTCTTAAATGACATATTTGATTATTAAGAAAACTAGAAATACAATTTTTGGAGTATATGGAATACCGTATTTACTCAAGTACCACCCGCACCTTTTTTCTCAAATTTCAGAAGAAAAAAAGGGGTGCATGTCATAAGCGGGTACAAAATTTTTAAGAAGTTTTAGGAAGTTGTATATGTTAATTATACTAGATTAAAATTGAGAAATTTGTGACAAATTTACCCAGAAAAATTTTTTTAACTGAAAAATTTGAAAATTGATCAGATTTATGTTCCATTCACGTCTAAAGTCAAATTTTTTGTTTTTATTTTCAAAATGTTGTGGTTTTAGAGTCACTAAAAATGGGGTGCGCATCTTACTTGGGGATACAATTTTAGCCAAATTTTGAGCTGAAAAACCCCTGTGCGCACCTTACTCCAGGGCGCAGGGTACTCAAGTAAATACAGTATCCCCATTTTCCCCATTTTGTGGCTGTTGTTGAGGAGAAATGAGAAGAGCAACCTGATGAAGGTTTACTTGTGCATCAGCTGACAATGTGTGCAACCATTTCTTCCATTTCTTTGATTTTTTTCAGCCAATGAGGGTCCAGGAAATCTATTAGAATATTTTGGAATTTTCTGGTCAGATCACTTGACCAGACAATTCCAAGAAAAAAAAATTGCGTTAATTGTTTGGCAATTCCAGGTGGTATGTCCTGAACTCTTAAAGGACAATCTCCCCCTTTTTTCTTAGAACTGATTTGTGCATAAATCTGTGATGTGAATTTGTTTGATCAAATCAGGTGTTTGGATTCATTGTGTGTGTCAATTTTCTCTATTGGATTCATTGAATTCTTGATTTTCTTCACTGAAAATATTAAATGAATCATTAGGAATAAACTAGGAACATTACTGTATATTCAAGGTGACCCCGGCTTCAATATGTGTTCTCAGCATCAATAGTCTGATTGTCTGTGTTTTTATTTCCTTATTTTGAGAAACCAAGCTCACAACTGTGCAACCCACACAGATGCATGTACCCCATGATTTTAGTTCTTACTCCATTCATTCAAATTTTTTTATTGTCAAGCAATTCTTTTTATTTCTGTATGTTATAAGTTCACGGAATCAGGTATTCCTGCGCAACAAACCAGTTCAGGATTATAATTTTTCGACTGGGGCATGACGCAATAGGTTTACTTTCAGCTGGAGGCGAAATCTGTTGCTGTTATCAGCAGTGAGCAAGGAAGCAATCAACCTTTGTTATATGGGCTGCAAGCTCTGACTCAACAATTGGAAATGTCACTCAACTAATAGTGTAGCTCCTTCAAGTTGAAATACAATTAATTGTCAGACAACTGGTAAAACTCATTGGAGCTTTTCAAACAAGACATTTTCATGTTTTTCTTTGTCGACAATTTTCTCATTAGTTTACTTCTGAAATGACTATTTTTTAAATTCCATGTGCGTGAAATTTTGCTGGTGATTTAATGGGTATTATACTTTATACCTCTGTTGCAATCGCTACAAAAATGTACTTTGGAGTTCATTTCAGAAGTCAGAACACAAGAAACAGCCTGGGACAGGCTGGGAATCTTATGGATACGTTAAAAAAAAACTAAAGGTTCTTATTGAACTTGTGAAAAAAAAATTGAAACCAGGAACATATTTAAAAAAACATTCCGGAAGTTTCCTGTCTCAAAGATTTTACTGCAATTGTTATAGTCAAAAATCCCTGCTGGAGGCTTTCAGAGTATAGGAAGCATGGAAGAAATTTGCTGAAAAATTTAAGTAATCCTGGAAATTCCAAATATTCAACTTTCTGAAATTCACTACTGTTTCAATGCTCCATTTTTTCTCATTCACAAAGTATGCATTCCTTTGCAGACATACATTCAAAATATTATAAATTCGAAGTTTTTGAGTTTTGCGAAATTTTTGTTGCAATTGCACCAATACCTGTTTGCTGGCCAAAAAATAAAAAATAAATAATAAAAAAAAAGGAAACTGAGGTTCAAAATCCAATTCAGCAATAAATGACTTATTGAGCTCTCCCCTGCTTGCAGAAAACCCTCATTTAGTATATTTCTCCGAATTTGCCCCAAGGGAAAAATACGAAGAAAAAGTTGCGTGTTTCGACTGGCATTTCCCTTTTATTCTATTCTTCCATTTTTCTGATTTGTTTTCTTCCTTCAATCAACCCATAATCGTTTTACATTCCGCTCTAACGTGCTTCGTTTTCGTGTGGTTCTTGGCAAACTAATTTTCCGATCATATAATTTTTTATTTGCAAAATAAATAACGGGATTTTTGAAATTGCTGGCCTCAATTAAAAAGTTGGAATTTGTGTTTCTGCAATGCCCTGATGGTTTTGCCCTTTAGCATGGAACGAGGAAATCATTTTTCGCCTATTTTTTCGATTTTCAGGAGAATTAATTGCTAAAGAATTAAAAAAGAAAAAAATTATCATGGTCCCGTTTACGCTTTAACGCATAAAATTTCAGACTCGATCTGTTCGCAATAAACTTCTCGAATTTTGATCTTTCGAATTTTCGATGAATTGGTCAGATTATGAAAGTAGTATCATACGGTACTTATTTGAAAAATTGGCAGAACATTTTTCATTGTATCAGCAAAATAAGGAGGGGGGGGGGCAAATTGGAATTTTTCGTCATCTCATGTGAATCACGAGCAAGTTTTAAAATTACAGTATTGCCGATTGTATTTATATGCAACCGCAATCCATGCCCGAAAACCCGAGCATTTTTGGCTCGAAAATATATGCAAATATTGAAATCATGCATCAGAGGCCAAATTTAGAGGCAACTATTTTGAGCTCGCAAGCGTCAGTTTTCAAACGATTATTCCTCACTTTTCGGCTGTTTGCCAATTTTATTTTCAATATATTCGTTCATTACTGATTTATTGAGTACTTATTCTAATGTATGCCACAATAAAAACAGAAATACAAACGAAATGCAGTACGAAATAATAGAAATGTTCCACAAACCTGGATCTGAATATTCTCCCCCTTTATTTTTGGATCAAAACATAACCTTGCGTCCGTTTTCAATCAGTGGAATCAAGTTTGTCGCTTATTTTAACGAAGAAAAAAACCACAGAACCACAGAAACACAAATGGGATTACGCTAAAAATAGGCATGTAAATTAATATCCGAAGATTGAATTTATTTAATTTCATTACACTATTCGAGCATCAATAAAAGTCAAACTCGAAGCAGCTTTCTTCAGGCATCATATTTTCATAATTTGGGACAAAGAAGAAAAAAAAACAAGACTTGATTCCCAGAAAAGCAGAAATACAAAATAGAATGTATGCGAAAAATCACGCGCGAAGCAAAATCCAGATGTTTCATCTAAAAGCGTGGTTTTATTGGGCTCTGACCAGTCCAATAAAGATGTACACTAGCTAATTTTTGAATATTCAACATAGGATACCGAAAGAATCATTGCTTCGAGTTTACTTCATGATGAAAAACCGTTCAGAAAAAATTACTTAATTGAAGCACGCAAAATATAAGCACTGTATATATTCCTGCTGTTCAAGATTATACTGTATATTGCTTTCCTGAAAATGAAAGGTGGTGAAATCTCGCCCATTGGCCAACCCCACCGCAAAACTTG